GCATAGGAACACTGTAGTCAATATAGAAACACTGTAGTCAGCATAGAAACACTGTAGTCAGCATAGGAACACTATAGTCAATATAGAAACACTGTAGTCAGCATAGGAACACTGTAGTCAGCATAGGAACACTGTAGTCAGCATAGGAACACTATAGTCAATATAGAAACACTGTAGTCAGCATAGGAACACTGTAGTCAGCATAGGAACACTGTAGTCAGCATAGGAACACTATAGTCAGTATAGGAACACTATAGTCAGTATAGAAACACTGTAGTCAGTATAGAAACACTGTAGTCAATATAGAAACACTGTAGTCAATATAGAAACACTGTAGTCAGCATAGAAACACTGTAGTCAGCATAGAAACACTGTAGTCAGCATAGAAACACTGTAGTCAGCATAGAAACACTGTAGTCAGCATAGAAACACTGTAGTCAATATAGAAACACTGTAGTCAGCATAGAAACACTGTAGTCAGCATAGAAACACTGTAGTCAGCATAGAAACACTGTAGTCAGCATAGGAACACTATAGTCAGTATAGGAACACTGTAGTCAGTATAGGAACACTGTAGTCAGTATAGGAACACTATAGTCAGTATAGAAACACTGTAGTCAGTATAGAAACACTGTAGTCAATATAGAAACACTGTAGTCAATATAGAAACACTGTAGTCAGCATAGAAACACTGTAGTCAGCATAGAAACACTGTAGTCAGCATAGAAACACTGTAGTCAGCATAGAAACACTGTAGTCAATATAGAAACACTGTAGTCAGCATAGAAACACTGTAGTCAGCATAGAAACACTGTAGTCAGCATAGAAACACTGTAGTCAGCATAGAAACACTGTAGTCAGCATAGGAACACTATAGTCAGTATAGGAACACTGTAGTCAGTATAGGAACACTGTAGTCAGTATAGGAACACTGTAGTCAGTATAGGAACACTATAGTCAGTATAGGAACACTGTAGTCAATATAGGAACACTATAGTCAGTATAGAAACACTATAGTCAGTATAGGAACACTGTAGTCAGTATAGGAACACTGTAGTCAGTATAGGAACACTGTAGTCAGTATAGGAACACTGTAGTCAGTATAGGAACACTGTAGTCAGTATAGGAACACTGTAGTCAGTATAGGAACACTGTAGTCAGTATAGAAACACAGTGATTTTTCAATCTTTTTATTCAATCTATTTTTCATTGTGGTCATTCCTCACACTTGTATCAGTGTGAAGATAATACAGGAAACACGAGACACAAAATCATCAAACTGTTTTAATGTGTACTGTACATTAATAACTTGATATATAAATAACACGTAAATAATATATGACAGGAGAGCTCATCACGGCTACTCACTGTCGAGGCATTCCTGAGAAATACATGAAGTACATTATGAGAGAGAGAGAGAGAGAGAGAGAGAGAGAGAGAGAGAGAGAGAGAGAGAGAGAGAGAGAGAGAGAGAGAGAGAGAGAGAGAGAGAGAGAGAGGGAGGGAGGGAGGGAGGGAGAGGGAGAGAGAGAGAGAGAGAGAGAGAGAGAGAGAGAGAGAGAGAGAGAGAGAGAGAGAGAGAGAGAGAGAGAGAGAGAGAGACAGAGACACAGAGACACAGATAGGGAGAGAGAGAGAGAGACACACACACACACCAACAATGAAAAATGGGATGCTAGCGCGAGCTCACAGATTTTGCCAGGGTTCGACGTCTGCTAGACGAGCAGGTAGGTGGGGGAGGGGGGAAAAAGAGACGTTCTGAACCTGAAGACGTAGTTCGACGCACGTTTGGAACGCTTAGAGAACGACCAGTCAGTCACCTAAGTTCGAAATCCCGCCACAACCAGACGTCGACTCCTGCAGAAGGCTGCCAAACTCTTCCTTCCCTAGCGGACACCTGGAGAACATCTGGTCGCAGGAAGCCTGACCCTGGATCTCCGTGTCCTCCAGAAACGATTCATTGTACGAGGACAGAATCTTCGGATTACTGGAGAACAGCTGCAGAAAGACATTGTCCTCCAGGGTGCGTTCCTCCTGTTCCTTGGTGTCTAGGTGACACAGGAGCTTGAGGACACAGCCGTCAGTGTCCAGGTGAGTGACGGCGGACATCAGTAACCTCTGCATCTCGTCCACCTCTTCCAGTCCGGTTTGAATCTCCCGCCCATGGCGGCGCCGCTTATAAGGTAGACCGAAGTCTTCACTATACCCCTTCGCTATGCGAAATTCTTGCAGTAATTTATATGAGGCGATTGCAATACCCTGAAAAATGCAATGGAAAAGGCATGAAAACAATGTATAACATGTCATTACAAAAATTCAATCTTCATAACGTACATACACATGTAGGAACTTAGTGAGAATACATAGTGAGCTTAGATATTGTACACTAATAGGATATGAGTTACAGTGATAAGTGTGACCAGGATACAGATGATACACTTACCTTAAGGGTCCAAAGTCCTGTCAGGATAATAGGGCCATTGCCTATTGTTGGCAAGAAAAAGGCGTTGGAGGCGGCTGCTAGCCCCAACAGGATTGTCAAGATGTACGCAAGATGCATCTTGAGGGGACGCGACGCTTGGAGGTACACGATGCCTGCGGACACCTGCGGCAGACGAGTCAAGGTGCGGCAGGACCTTCAAGACGGGTGCTTCAAGATGCGGCAGGATCCCCCAAGACGGGTGCTTCAAGATGCGGCAGGATCCCCCAAGACGGGTGCTTCAAGATGCGGCAGGATCCCCCAAGACGGGTGCTTCAAGATGCGGCAGGATCCCCCAAGACGGGTGCTTCAACTTGCGGCAGGATCCCCAAGACGGGTGCTTCAAGATGCGGCAGGATCCCCCAAGACGGGTGCTTCAAGATGCGGCAGGATCCCCCAAGACGGGTGCTTCAAGATGCGGCAGGATCCCCCAAGACGGGTGCTTCAAGATGCGGCAGGATCCCCCAAGACGGGTGCTTCAAGATGCGGCAGGATCCCCCAAGACGGGTGCTTCAAGATGCGGCAGGATCCCCCAAGACGGGTGCTTCAAGATGCGGCAAGATCCCCAAGACGGGTGCTTCAAGATGCGGCAGGATCCCCAAGACGGGTGCTTCAAGATGCGGCAGGATCCCCAAGACGGGTGCTTCAAGATGCGGCAGGATCCCCCAAGACGGGTGCTTCAAGATGCGGCAGGATCCCCAAGACGGGTGCTTCAAGATGCGGCAGGATCCCCCAAGACGGGTGCTTCAAGATGCGGCAGGATCCCCCAAGACGGGTGCTTCAAGATGCGGCAGGATCCCCCAAGACGGGTGCTTCAAGATGCGGCAGGATCCCCCAAGACGGGTGCTTCAAGATGCGGCCGGATCCCCCAAGACGGGTGCTTCAAGATGCGGCAGGATCCCCAAGACGGGTGCTTCAAGATGCGGCAGGATCCCCCAAGACGGGTGCTTCAAGACTGAAGTGCTGAACAGATCAACATAAGGAACCCCAAGATCATATCTTTCCCCTGCTACTGTGTTGACTTCGACTGTGTCTAAGAACTCCACCGGGGTAAGAATTTCTAACGACAAGGTCACTGAAGTGAGGCGAAATGGAACAATATTAACGGCATTGAACTTGATTCGCGTGTATGTATGAAGTTCAAGTGCAATGATTAGTGAACAATGAACACTAATGTGAACGCACACGTTCACACTGTTGCTACTTCCACAACACTTGGTGGTGTAGACACTGGTTGGGGCCAATGGCTCTTTGTTCAACAGCTCCTGGCGAAGAACTACTCAAGTCTGCGTCCAGGAGGGGATGTGCGGCCAGTAGATCGGAGAAGTCTACCCCAGCAACACAACAAAAGGAATCTGGGCCACATTGATTTCTCTCATGACAGATGCATCTCAAGGCACGATGACCCAAAGCTTGGTCCATCCTCGTACCCTGTCAGTAATGACAGGCAGAGCGGTTGGGAAAATGGAGGTTGATGCTATGTTATTCAGTCGTCTAGTTACCTGCTTTCTAGATGGGTCAACAGGATGTGTTCTAGATCTCTCTCTCTCTCTCGCCTTGTTCATTACACTCGCAGTCATGGAATAGCTGACCTGCAGGCCTAGTTACTAAGCTCTTTCTCATGTGTTCTCTATTCAGGGCGCCACTATTTGAAGGGGTTCCTGCACCCCCTGTGCCCTGAGGCTCTGCCACACACCACAGTGGCGCTGTGGTGGGGGTGCTGGTAGGGTGTGGGGTGTCGCTGGCGGTCTGGTCGACCCGACCAGTTGACTCTAGTGTATATATATATTGTTGGAAGGCCCCGCGCCTGCTCATTCACACTTCCTCTTCGCAGGACGCACGCTCGCCCACTCACTCCCTCGCACACGCACGCACGTCAGCGATAGTCTCATTCACGCACACTCGCACGCAAGCAAGCTCGTCTCTGTCAAGGACACACACGCACGCAAGCTCGACTCCGAGGACACACACGCACGCAAGCAAGCTCGTCTCTGTCAAGAACACACACGCACGCAAGCAAGCTCGTCTCTGTCAAGGACACACACACACGCACGCAAGCTCGTCTCTGCATCCCACACGCACGCAAGCTAGTCTCAGCCCACCACGCTAAAGGTAATTCCAATGTTGTCGTGTAGTTATCTGTCATCTAGTGACCAATGGCCGGGTTCAGTTAACTGAATCACCAAAGATCTATCATGCTAATTACACTATCCCCCCCCCCCAGCCTGATAGCTGAGTGGACAGCGCTCGAGATTCGTAGTCCTGAGGCTCCGGGGTTCGATCCCCGGAGGAGGCGGGGATCGCACCACGAAATAATAAAATTATTTCAATATGCCTTGAAATGTCGATATTTTAAAGTAGTCTACCCATTAATTTTAAGGTTTTCTTTGACATCACAATTTTCTTTGGCATAGAGTTAACTCTTCAAGTACATAAATAATACAAATAAAAGTATTTTTTCTCGATACACTTACTTGAACTTGAGGTGTTATAAATGTATGTTTTTTTTCCCGTGGTAGAGATGAGGGCGTGGTACCTGCTGGGGGCGCTGGGGGTGTTAATAGCCCTCTGCGGCGCCCAGGTCCTGCCTAGCTTCGCGGGTATAGCCGCCCTACTGCAGCCTTTCATTCCGACCAAGCTAGCATATGGCGGGAACCTGAGCGGCACTCTGGCAGCCGTTGGTCTCGGGCTCTTTGAGGTAATTCCATCCGGGATTCGTAGTTTTTTTCCGTGGGGCTTTTCCGAGAAACCTGTTTCGTCTTTGTTGACCTGGGGCCAGATTCACGAAAGCACTTACGCAAGCACTTACGAACGTGTACATCTTTCCTCAATCTTTGACTTGTTTGGTTTCATTTAGTAAACAGTTTACAAGCATGAAAACTTGCCAATCAACTGTTGTTATTGTTATAAACAGCCTCCTGGTGCTTCGGAGCTCATTAACTGTTTAATAATTGTAAACAAAGCCGCCAAACATTGAGAAAAGATGGACAGATTCGTAAGTGTTTGCGTAAGTGCTTTCGTGAATCTGACCCCTGACCACACACTAGAAGGTGAAGGGACGACGACGTTTCGGTCCGTCCTGAACTATTCTCACAATCGACTTGAGAATGGTCCAGGACGGACCGAAACGTCGTCGTCCCTTCACCTTCTAGTGTGTGGTCTGGTCAACATACTTCAGCCCCGTTATTGTGACTCATCGCCTGTTTCATCTTTCCTCGGTTATAGGGCTTAAGTGGGATAAATTAATTTGGATATCTTCTCTCCGCTCAAGTTTTTCCAGTCTCCGCTATCTTTAAGACCTGTTGATTCTTGCCACAGAGGAAGATGACAGTTCAAATTATGATACAACACACTACACCCGGTTTCCATTTTCCTCTCTTAGACAATTTAGTTAATAACTTTTCAATGTTTCTGCTCATTAGACCATTATTAAGAGTAACCTAACCATTGTTTCATGCCCGAAACGCTTTGCGTAATAGTGGCTTTAGGCATTGTATGTACTAGCTCTACCTATAAGTCAACCAATCCTTGTAAAAATTTATTGTATGTATGTACCTTACCTAAATAAAATTGCATTGTATTGTACTGTATTGTGTTCTAATTGACAGGCTGGAGTCTTGGCCGGCTACATCACCAACTACTCCCAGGTGACGCGTAGAGCCTATGACCAAGAGAGGAAGAAGAAGAAGGAGGCCTTGGAGGAAATTAAGAAGGAGCAGGAAGCCAAGACAAAGCAGGCAGAAAGTAAAAAATCTCCCATTGTTTATGAGGCAGATTACGAAGATGCTGATGCTCAGATTCCCTCGCGACCATCTTATGGTAGCCCATCGTCTCAAAACGTCTACCACAGCCCAACATCTACAAATATTTACCACAGCTCATCGCCTCAAAACGTTTATCGCAGCCCATCGCCTCAAAACGTTTATCGCAGCCCATCGCCTCAATACGTTTATCGCAGCCCATCGTCTCAATACGTTTATCCCAATCAGTTCACTCGTCGTCAGACCCGTTCAAACAAACAGGAACTGCAACAGGTGGATGAGGTGCAGAGGTTGTTGATGTCCGCCGCGACTCAGTTGGACACAGACGGCTGTGTCCTGAAGCTTCTGTGTCACCTAGACACCAAGGAACAGGAGGAACGCACTCTGCAGGAAGATGTCCTCCTCAATCTCTTTTACAACAGTCCGGAGATGTTGTCCTCATACAACACTGAACTGAGAGCCAGAGGGACCGGATTGGACGAGACCAGAGGGACCGGATTGAACCAGACCAGAGGGACCGGATTGGACGAGACCAGAGGGACCGGATTGAACCAGGCCAGGGGGACCGGATTGAACCAGACCAGAGGGACCGGATTAGACGAGACCAGAGGGACCGGATTGAACCAGGCCAGAGGGACCGGATTGAACCAGGCCAGGGGGACCGGATTGAACCAGACCAGAGGAACCGGATTGAACCATGCCAGAGGGACCGGATTGAACCAGGCCAGGGGGACCGGATTGAACCAGACCAGAGGAACCGGATTGAACCATGCCAGAGGGACCGGATTGAACCAGGCCAGAGGGACCGGATTGAACCAGGCCAAGTGTGACCAGGTGTTCTCTAAGTGCCCAGTCCGGGCAGTGGAACTGGCCAGCCTCATGGGCCAACTATGGGGATGTGATCACTCTTCTTCTCGGTAACTGTCACACTTCCTGGCGTGACAGCTTGCATGTCACACATGCTGACGTGACAGCTTGCATGTCACACATGCTGACGTGACAGCTTGTGTGTGTGTTAGACATGGTAACATGAGAGCATGTGTGACAGATTTGATGATATAGCTTCGTAGCCAAACATTTGTGCCAGATGTGAACTTAACAGGAGATTAGAGTATCTTAGAGTCCCTTGATTTCGGGGATTAGAGTCCCCGCGGCCCAAGGTCCTCGACGAGGCCTCCTCGTTGCTGGACTGGTCAACCAGGCTGTTGACATATGAATCACAGCCTGGTTGATCAGGTATACTGAACACCCAGTCACACGAAGCTGTCGATGAGTGGTTGTGGTGAGTGTTTAACCCCTGATGTTAGAAACTGTGAATAATGTTACGAGTAATAGGATGAATGAGCTGTGATATTCACATATTATTCACCGTAGTTTGAGGATCAGCGCCCTCCCTCGCCCATGGAACTTTGGGGTGATGTTCAGTCTTGGTGTAAACATAAACATGTTTGTATGTTAGACAAATTACAAACATTCGTTTGAAGAGAAAACCACGAAAAAACATTTGAAAATTTTCATGTATTAAAGATATGAAATTAAACACTGTTTCTGTGTGACTATGTGCAATACGTGTTGTATAAGCCTACACTACACACTACATCGTCGTATTTTGACTATCCTGACGCAATGACGCAAAAGCTTCCCCCTGCCCTGCCACGCTGACGCAATGACGTTAAACCTCCCCCCCTACCACACTGACGCAATGACGCAAAAGCTTCCCCCTGCCCTGCCACGCTGACGCAATGACGTTAAACCTCCCCCCCCCTACCACACTGACGCAATGACGCAAAAGCTTCCCCCTGCCCTGCCACGCTGACGCAATGACGTTAAACCTCCCCCCCCTACCACACTGACGCAATGACGCAAAAGCTTCCCCCTGCCCTGCCACGCTGACGCAATGACGTTAAACCTCCCCCCCCCTACCACACTGACGCATTGACGCAAAAGCTTCCCCCTGCCCTGCCACGCTGACGCAATGACGTTAAACCTCCCACCCCCTACCACACTGACGCAATGACGCAAAAGCTTCCCCCTGCCCTGCCACGCTGACGCAATGACGTTAAACCTCCCCCCCTACCACACTGACGCAAAAGCTACCCCCCCCTCCTACCACACTGACGCAGTGTCGCTTAACCACTGATAGACTGGGGATATCTTATCTTGAGGATATCTTGAGATGATTTTGGAGCTTTTAGTGTCCCCGCGGCCCGGTCCTCGACCAGGCCTCCACCCCCAGGAAGCAGCCCGTGACAGCTGACTAACACCCAGGTACCTATTTTACTGCTAGGTAACAGGGGGCATAGGGTGAAAGAAACTCTGCCCATTGTTTCTCGCCGGCGCCTGGGATCGAACCCGAGACCTGTCGAACTGTCTGTCAGCTTTCATCGAGGTCCACCAGGGTTCGTGACCCTCATGTGAATCAGATAAATGTGTACACTGTATCCTGTGTATGTATATATGTATGCCGTATGGATACAGGATGTATTTGTCTGTTTACAGTGTCTGTATTATGTATTTAAATTCAATGTATGTATGTATAGAGTATGTGTGTGTCCTGTGTGCAGTTATTATGTATGTATTTATTTGTATATGTATAATGGCTATGACAATTATGAATGATAATGTGATGAATGTATTATTACATATGTATACATATGTATTTGTCGTTAATTATTCATCTAGATGTATAAGTTGCCACACCTCGCAACACCTGTCATCATACATAGATTCCACACCTACCCACACACCTGTAACACACACCTGTAGCCGTCATGTATACCAATGTATATCAATAAATTCCAATTTTCAAAGATTTTTCCTTACCACAGTGTATAGAGTCCGAGATAGTGTCATGTTCTGTGTCTCATATGTATATGTATTCATATGTATACGCATGCTTAAGAATACGCAAGAGAGAGGTGAATGTATTAGGAATACATGGAGAGTATACTCCAAATTCCATGTATGGAGGGTGGTGGAGGATAACTCCATGTATGGTGGTGGTGGAGGATACCTCCATGTATGGTGGTGGTGGAGGATAACTCCATGTATGGTGGTGGTGGTGGAGGATAACTCCATGTATGGTGGTGGTGGTGGAGGATAACTCCATGTATGGTGGTGGTGGTGGAGGATAACTCCATGTATGGTGGTGGTGGTGGAGGATAACTCCATGTATGGTGGGTGGTGGTGGAGGATAACTCCATGTATGGTGGTGGAGGTGGAGGATAACTCCATGTACGGTGGGTGGTGGAGGATAACTCCATGTATGGTTGTGGTGGTGGTGGTGGATAACTCCATGTATGGTGGTGTTGGTAGTGGATAACTCCATGTATGGTGGTGTTGGTGGTGGATAACTCCATGTATGGTGGTGTTGGTGGTGGATAACTCCATGTATGGTTGTGGTGGTGGTGGTGGATAACTCCATGTATGGTGGTGTTGGTGGTGGATAACTCCATGTATGGTGGTGGTGGTGGAGGATAACTCCATGTATGGTGATGAGGTGGAGGATAGCTCCATGTATGGTGGTGGTGGTGGATAACTCCATGTATGGTGGTGGTGGTGGAGGATAACTCCATGTATGGTGGTGGTGGAGGATATCTCCATGTATGGTGGTGGTGGTGGAGGATAACTCCATGTATGGTGGTGGTGGTGGAGGATAACTCCATGTATGGTGGTGGTGGATAACTCCATGTATGGTGGTGTTGGTGGTGGATAACTCCATGTATGGTGGTGTTGGTGGTGGATAACTCCATGTATGGTGGGTGGTGGTGGTGGATAACTCCATGTATGGTGGTGGTGGTGGAGGATAACTCCATGTATGGTGGTGGTGGTGGTGGATAACTCCATGTATGGTGGTGTTGGTGGTGGATAACTCCATGTATGGTGGTGGTGGTGGTGGATAACTCCATGTATGGTGGTGGTGGAGGATAACTCCATGTATGGTTGTGGTGGTGGTGGATAACTCCATGTATGGTGGTGTTTGTGGTGGATAACTCCATGTATGGTGGGTGGTGGTGGTGGATAACTCCATGTATGGTGGTGGTGGTGGAGGATAACTCCATGTATGGTGGTGGTGGTGGTGGATAACTCCATGTATGGTGGTGTTGGTGGTGGATAACTCCATGTATGGTGGTGGTGGTGGTGGATAACTCCATGTATGGTGGGTGGTGGTGGAGGATAACTCCATGTGTGGTGGTGGTGGATAACTCCATGTATGGTGGTGGTGGTGGTGGATAACTCCATGTATGGTGGTGGTGGTGGAGGATAACTCCATGTATGGTGGGTGGTGGTGGTGATAACTCCATGTATGGTGGTGGTGGTGGAGGATAACTCCATGTGTGGTGGTGGTGGATAACTCCATGTATGGTGGGTGGTGGTGGTGGATAACTCCATGTATGGTGGTGGTGGAGGATAACTCCATGTGTGGTGGTGGAGGATAAATCCATGTATGGTGGTGTTGGTGGTGGATAACTCCATGTATGGTGGTGGTGGTGGTGGATAACTCCATGTATGGTGGGTGGTGGTGGAGGATAACTCCATGTGTGGTGGTGGTGGATAACTCCATGTATGGTGGTGGTGGTGGTGGATAACTCCATGTATGGTGGTGGTGGTGGAGGATAACTCCATGTATGGTGGGTGGTGGTGGTGGATAACTCCATGTATGGTGGTGGTGGTGGAGGATAACTCCATGTATGGTGGTGGTGGTGGTGGATAACTCCATGTATGGTGGTGGTGGTGGAGGATACCTCCATGTATGGTGGTGGTGGTGGTGGATAACTCCATGTATGGTGGTGGTGGTGGAGGATAACTCCATGTATGGTGGTGGTGGTGGAGGATAACTCCATGTATGGTGGTGGTGGTGGAGGATAACTCCATGTATGGTGGTGGTGGTGGAGGATAACTCCATGTATGGTGGTGATGGTGGAGGATAACTCCATGTATGGTGGTGGTGGTGGAGGATAACTCCATGTATGGTGGTGGTGGTGGTGGAGGATAACTCCATGTATGGTGGTGGTGGTGGAGGATAACTCCATGTATGGAGGTGGTGGTGGAGGATAACTCCATGTATGGAAGGAGCTGGTGGAGGATAACTCCATGTATGGTGGTGGTGGTGGAGGATAACTCCATGTATGGTGGTGGTGGTGGAGGATAACTCCATGTATGGTGGTGGTGGTGGAGGATAACTCCATGTATGGTGGTGGTGGTGGTGGATACTCCATGTATGGTGGTGGTGGTGGAGGATACCTCCATGTATGGTGGTGGTGGTGGTGGATAACTCCATGTATGGAGGTGGTGGTGGAGGATAACTCCATGTATGGTGGTGGTGGAGGATAACTCCATGTATGGTGGTGGTGGTGGAGGATAACTCCATGTATGGTGGTGGTGGTGGAGGATAACTCCATGTATGGTGGTGGTGGTGGAGGATAACTCCATGTATGGTGGTGGTGGTGGAGGATAACTCCATGTATGGAAGGAGCTGGTGGAGGATAACCCATGTATGGTGGTGGTGGTGGAGGATAACTCCATGATGGTGGTGGTGGTGGAGGATAACTCCATGTATGGTGGTGGTGGTGGAGGATAACTCCATGTATGGAAGGAGCTGGTGGAGGATAACTCCATGTATGGTGGTGGTGGAGGAGGATAACTCCATGTATGGTGGTGGTGGTGGAGGATAACTCCATGTATGGTGGTGGTGGTGGAGGATACCTCCATGTATGGTGTTGGTGATGGTGGATAACTCCATGTATGGAGGGTGGAGGTAGAGGATAACTCCATGTATATAGTTACCACAAACTCCATACATAGCCACCCAATGGCTCAGTCGATAGAGTTTCAACCTCCCAATCATAGGGTTCTCAGTTCGAATCTCCCATAACCCAAGTACACGCAACAGCTGCAGAACTGACGTCTTGAAAGGTTTAAGAAACGCC